GGCAAGCTGGGGCCCTGGCACGCTTCTTGGGGGAGGTGTGAGCAAGTAGGGTGGCTGCCGTTCGAGGATGCCTGCACTGACCCCTTTTCTTCCCACCTCCTGCCTGCCCCAGGGCCTCTCCCCCCACAAAACCTCACTGCCTCCCGCATCACCTCCACCTCTGTGTCCATGGCATGGGAGCAGCCACCTGCTGGCGCTGTGGAGGGGTACATCATCAACGTCACCACTGCTCAAAGTGTGAAGAGCCGCTACGTGCCCAACGGGAAGCTTGTGTCCTACACGGTGCGGGACCTGCTCCCTGGGCAGCGGTACCGTCTGTCTGTCACGGCTGTGCAGAACACGGAACAAGGCCAAGTGCACAGCGAGCCCATCCACCTCTACGTCACCACCTGTGAGTGCCTGGCTCGCTGCAGCTGGGTGCTGCCAGTTTGCTGCAGCACAAGGGAGGAGGTGGGCTAAGGGGGGAGTGGGGCAGGGGGTAGGAAGCCAGTTGACCAACAGAGTAATGAGCCCATGAGGACTTGCTGCCCCAGGACTGGGTGCCCACGGAAGGCAGCTCACCTGCAGAGGGAGGTGGGGGCTGTAGGGTGCTGCCTCCAAGAGCGGAGGGCAGATGCAGCATTACAGCTCAGTGATGCTTCACAGGGACTGGTGCTTGTAGCCTAGGCACGTGTCCCCAGGCAGCCCTGAATGGCAACCTGGGGATGAGGGGACTGGCTGGGAGTTGGGTTGCTGTGTGGGCTCACAGCCTGCCTCCCGCTGAACTGAACCCTTTGGTCTGCAGTGCAGAGGGATGGGGCTCCGGAGAGGCGGTGGAGCCAGGCTGGACACCCCCGGGTCCTGCGCAACAGGTTGCCCCCAGCTTTCCTGCCCGAACTCCGCTTGCTGGCAGATCACGACACAGCTGAGGGGCCCTCGCCAGCCCCCAGGTAGGTGCTGCCCCAGCACTCCTGACTCTTCCACCAGTGCTCAGGCTGAGCGTTGGGCTAAGCACAGCCCCTTTTCCCACATCCCGTGTCTGGCTGTGCCCAGGTCAAGCACCGGTGGCACCTCTTGCCCAGCCGCTGGGGTTCCCCAGGCAGGCAGCTCCTCATCCTGTCAGCAGGTCCCCCCACTGCCTGCAGCTGAGCCTGTGGGACTTGCCCTGAGCCCAATGTCGCCTGCCTGAGCACATGGGGTGGCTGGGGCCTGGAGGACCCGCGGTGCCCGGTACCCTCATGGCTCTCCTGTCCCAGGTTCAGCGAGCTGATGGATGGCAGAGGGAGGATCAGTGCCAGGTTCAGCACAGCGCTGAGCAAATCCATCACTGTGAAGAAGCGTAAGTGCTCTGCTGCCTTTCTGGGCCCCTCCTATCACTCAGTGCCATCTCCTATGCCTCCCCCAGGACAGGCTGGCAGCTGGGCAGGCTGCTGTCAGGCTGGGGAGCTACAGAGGAGGGCATGGCCCTCTCACCTCTTCCCAGGCGGATGAGTATCTGCCCTGTGTGATAGGCCCCTGCCCAGGGAGGGGGGACACACAGCTGGGAAGGAAATGCAGAGAGGGACCCTTGGTGATGAGAGGTGATGCCAGCTGCAGCATGGGCTGGCCGCCTACCCTGCCAGCAGCAGTGCGAGCCCAGGCAACGGCCCTGTGGCCCTCCAGCACAGCCCCAGCCTGCCAAGCACAGCCTCACACTCAAGGAGGGTGCCTGGGCAAGAAGCCCCTTGCTATCCCTGGAGCACCAGGGACACAAGTGCCAGCCTAAGATATCCTACTGGGCCCGGGAATGCTGTGCCAAGGGGTGGGGAAGGGGCCTGGCACACCTGGTGGCAGCCCTGGGCTCGCTGCATGTCTCAGCTCTGCCCCTCCTCCCCAGGGCTCTGTGTCCCACAGCCCTCCAGGAAGGACGAGGTGGTCCCCTTAATTCTAGGGGTGCCAGCTGGGAAGGGCTGACCCACTGCCTCGGGCCTGACTGGCCCCCTGATGCTGCGGGCGGGCTGGATTCCACCGAAGGGGCTGCTGCCGGTGGCCCTGGCTGGCTATGACATTTGGCCCTCTTGTTGCCCAGAGCCAGAGGCTCCAGTGAAGCTGGAGAACGTGGAGGTGTCCAGCCAGGGCAGTCAGGCCCTGCAGCTGCGTGAGGCAAAGAGCAAGAGTAAGTCTGGGGGGACACAGCAGCAGCAGGGACCCGCAGGGTGCTTGGCACCAGCCTGCTCCCTGCTGCTGTCCTGCTGGGAGGCACGCAAGGGGCACAGTGTGAGCCCCTGCTGGCTGCCCTGTCCCTGCTCGCAGCTCTCCCTGGGTGCACCCTGGCATGCCAGAGGCTGGGCAGGGCTGCGCCATGGCCCTGGGCTCTGACCACAGTATGTGTTTTGCAGGCGAGGGGTGGAACTGCTCCATGAACCCCTGCAGGAACGGAGGCACCTGCGCCAGAGACGCCGAGTCCTACTACTGCAACTGCCGCCCAGGCTTCAAGGGCCAGCTCTGCGAGCTGGGTGAGTGCCACGCTGCTGCCGAGCTCCCTCCCAACAGCAGCGAGAGGGGCTGGGCTCTGGTCCCGCCAGTTCAGGCAGAGCTGGGAGCATGGTCCTGCTCCTACCACCTCTGCCAGGCAGCCCAGCAAGCCAGGCTCCACGTAGTTACCTGGGCACCCCAGGGCTGGGCGCTCTGCTTCACCTAGCCAGCCAGCTCTGTTGAGCCCAGCCCTCCAGGACAGCAGAGGGGAAGCTAGGGGGGCCTTGGTCGCCCCCTGCCATGGGGCATAGGCAGGCAGGGCCAGGGGTGGGCTTGTTGATAGCTCCCCTCTCCTGTTCCCCAAGCAGTCTGCAAGAAGGTGCCCCACTCGTGCACACGGCTGTACTCAGAAACCAAGTCATTCCCTGTGTGGGAAGGAGGCACCTGCCACTACCTGTGAGTACTGCCCGTGGGCTGTGCTCCCCCCTTCCCCTGTGCGCAGAGCTGGGGCTGTCCCTGCAGCTTGGCTCCGTGGAAGGGAGAGTGAGCGCGAGGCCATCCCAGACCCCCGACCCAGGTGGCATGAGCTGCCCCCTCCCCCGCGCAGGCAAGCAGCCTCATCTGCCCCCGGGACTGCCCTGCTAGCTGCGTTTTAGGACAGGGTGTTGCCAAACTGACAGCCCTGTAGCGGTGTTTGTTACCCACCTATGCAGCAGCGAGGTTGGATTTGGTGTGTGTGACCCCCCAAGCAGCAGCGGTCCCCTGCTCACCAGCTCAGCTCCCAGCTGCCTCTCCACCCGCAAGCAGAGGGCTGGGGCAGCCCTGCTGCCATGCCAGGGCATGGGGGCTGCTGCTCTGCCCCCCACCCCCCCCAGCCTGTGATGGAGGTGCAAGGGCCTGTGTGGGGTCAGCCCTTGCGCACAGCAGGCTCAGACCTGGTCCTACCACGTCCGGCTACCGCAGCCTGCGAGAAAGGAGGAGACCTCCAGACTGCCCCCTTGCACTCAAAAGCAGATCTGTCCCTGTTACTCCCTACAACTCGCCCTTTCGCTGTGTGTGCAGGTACAGGAAAGTCTACAAGGTACACCAGGACGTCTGCTACAGGGAGAGCTGCGAGAGCACTGCTTCTGAGAAGCCAACCAGCAGGTAAGGCTGGCAGCAGCACACCGAGCGCTGTATCCCGAGCCAGCAGGATATGGCCAGTGTCACCCAACATGGGTGGGGGTGCCCCGGCTGGAGGTGGGCTGGGAGAGGGGTGCAGGCATCCCCTGCAGAACAGAGCACAGGGAGCACACGGCACCAGTTCCCTGTGGGCGACAGCTGAGGGACTGCAGGGCTGACAGCGCTCTCCTCCCTTCTCTTTCAGAAAACCAAGCAACAGTCACACACTGAAGAAGCCATAGGGTAAGTACCCGCTCCGCGCCCTCCTCGGCCGCAGGCAGGGGCAGCTCCTGCCTGCGCCCCCTGCACGGGGAGCAGCCGGGGAGGAAAAGGGTGGAGGCGGCAGCGCAGTGCAGCCCAGGCTCACGCTGCCGTGTCAAGGGGGTGCAAGGGCTCCCCAGCTGCTGGGCTGGTCAGGCTTGGGCAAGCGGCTGAGGGCTCCTGGCTGTGGCTGGGATGGAGGAGCAGGCAGCAGCGCTCTGCACCCCCATGGCTCTGCAGCCGCCTGAACAAGGGATTCCTGCACAGAAAGGGCCTGGGCGCTGCCTGCCCGAGCAGGGCAAAGGCTGGAGCCCCAGATGGGGCAGCCTGAGATGGGCGTGCAGGGTGGGAAGAGGTGGCTGTGGGGCTTTTGGAGCACTCTGCACACCAGCTCATTCTCTTCCTACTCCTTCACAGGGTTCAAAGCAGTAGAAGCTTCGTCTTTCCGCTTCTAAGGGCTTTTGAAACACCAGGAAGATCAGATCTGCTCACTGGGTTGAACACAGCAGGGGAACCTTCCTGCCTGGCATCAGCTGCTCCCTCTCCTCCAGCCCGTCAGGGACACACAGCCGGATCGGCACACTGAGCAGTGCTCCCTTCCCTCCACCGGACCAGCACTGCCTTCACTCTGGCTTGCCTTTCTCCAGCCACTTCTTTGCCCCTAGGAGCTGAGTGCCAGCTCCCACGGCAGCTGCTGGGCTACCCCCTGCGGGGACCAGCCCCGCTCGGCCCTCCCAGCCGCTCTGCGCGAGCCATGGGCTCCTGGCCCTGCTCAGGCATCAGCAGGGCTGAGTCCAGCTCCCTGCCACCAGCATCTGCACCAACCTGTTTTCGTAACCCAAGGTTATAAATTACCTCTAACCCCCAATAAAACAGTTTAATGCAGACCCAAAGGCCGCAGCTCTCACCTGAGCCATGGCCCGCACCAGCCTGGCTGGAGGAGACCTTCCCTAAGTAGACGAGTTAGAAAGGCTGAGCAGCTCCCCTGAGCAGCGAGGCGACTGTGGTGCTGGAGGCATGGCCCCGTCGCCTCTGCTTGCATGGGGGGAACTCTGGCAGCTTCTACTGCCTGCCTTCTTCCTTTGCTTTGTGAACAACCCCTGGCTTTAACCCCATTTCCAGCTTGGAAAGCAACGGAGCACCTAGGAAGCATTTGTAGGGTAAATGTGTCAGCCGAGGGATGGCACCATGCTTGTCCCGATGCTCCTCGCCTCCCCGCGCAGGGCCCAGAACAGGCTTGGTGCGGAAGCAAGCTCCCCATCCCCTCCCCTGAGCCACCGGCAGCGCTTGTGGTCCCCCGGGGCGCCAGCCGGTGCCAGCGCTGTGGTTGCGGAGGAGAGGAGCAGGTGCAGCGCGGCAGCGGCTCCCTCCGCCCCCTTCCCTGCGGCAGGGCAGGCCAGGAACAAGTGTAGCTTAGAACCGTTCCTAGTTTTTGTGTTTGTATGCCAGCACTAGTTAAACATAGAGTTGTGTATGAGCGTACACGGTGTATATTATAAATTAATACATACCAGAGATATATCGTAGCTATGGTGTAGAACGTTATTTCCCAAGCAGGGTGGGGGCAGCCCTCCCCTCCCCTGCACACCCCAGGGCGTTTTGATCAGCCATGCGTGTTGAGCTGCAGCCCGGAAGAGTTTTGGCACTCCTGGCACCTTCCTCTCCTTCCCGTAAGAGTGCTCGGCCCCAAGGAGCGGCTGCTGCAGCAGCCTGGGAGCAGCAGGAAGGATGTGAAGCCAGGAGCAGTGGGCAGGGTGAGGCTGCGCTGGCTCTAGCCCTGCTCCGAGCAGAGCAGTTGGCAGTGGATGTACCTCGATCTCCCCCAAGGCTGCCTGACCTGCTCCAGCCTCCCTACCGCAAGGTGCGCACGAAGCCCGTGCCTGGGAAAAGCCAGCACAGCCTCTGCTCTCCACGAGCCAGGGGAGGGTTTAGGGCTGTGGCCAGAAAGCGGCTGCAGCCACAAGCCCGGTGCCAATGGGGGCTGTGAAGAGGGAGGCGGTCCCCCGCCATGGGCCAGCCCTGCTCCAGCGCAGCTCCTGGGCCCAGCCACTGCTGCCACTGGGCCGCGTGTCCCTGCAGCGAGGGGCCGCGTGTCCCTGCTGGCAGCCAGCGCAGCAGCCCGCCGCCCCCAGCCAGCACAATGTGTAACGCAGCCGGAAGGGTTGAACCTAGCCTTGGAAATAAATCAGTTATTTTGGTTTGGTTTTTTAAAATAAAAACTTCATGGAAACCAGATGGCTTTTACCGTAGTTGGTCAATGAGGAGGAAAGGGGGTCACTGTTGTATTCTGACACACGGGATTTATTGCTGCCCCTCAGCAGGGCCCTGCAGCCGCCATGGCTGGTGCCAGCCCACAGGGCTGGGGGCCCCAAGCACCCAGGAGCGTGGTGGGGCAGGGGCCCGTGCCAGCACGGGGGAGCCCAGGCACTTCAGAGCCTCACCTCTTCACTCCTGGGCTGTTCTACTTCCCTCACTGTCCGAGTCTTCGTCTTCCTCTGCGTACAGTGCATCCCTGTCCTCTTCCTCTTCCTCCTCTTCCTCTTCCTTCTCCTCTCGAGCCAGCAGCTTCTTGAAGACCTCGTATTCCTCTGGGGTTGCGTGGGCCAGGCTGGCCAAGAAGTCTTTCTCTGGGAGCTGAAGGATATCCTTCAGTTTGGGGTTACTGGTTTGGGTCTGGCCTTTGTGCGGGGTCTGGTAGAGCCCCCGGCGCTCCAGGAAGATGTGCC